ATTTAGATATTCAAATTACTATTATATTCATTTGTATTTAAATAACAAACTAATCTCTAACATATCATGCAAACATCTCTATCTTTGCAAAACTTTTGAAATGATCAGGTTATGCTTACATGAATATAAAAACAATATTATTCTTTTTTTTTTTCAAAACTCCAATATTAATACACATTGACAAATCTATTAATACAACATTAATACACGTTGACAAATCTTTAATACAAACATCATCTCGAATGCTAAAAATGAATAAATTTATCTTATCTCTTCATTTACAATCAAAGTAATTTGGTTAAATTATTGATGCACAACTAAAATTAAGAAAGACAAAAAAGGAAAAAAATTCAAGAAAAAAAACTCTATACCTCTTACTACTTGGTAACTTAAATGAAAGAATCACAGAAAATAAGCTCACTGGATGTTTATAGTTATAAAAGGAATACAAACAATTTAAGTATGATAAAGATGAGATAATATCTAATGTAGCTACATAATTAGTTTTTTATGTGTTTTATCAAATATTTCAACAAAAAGATTTACGTGCAACACACGTCATGCATTCCTAGCACAAACTTAAATGTATAAGCCTACATTTGTGAGTTCATTTATAGTAAACTACAATACTTTCACTTCATTTTTTATCCGATACAAGTTTTTTACAAATGTAATACCCAATAACTTCCACATCGCATGGGAGCATTTGAAGCGATAAATTTAAAAGAAAATCCAGTTATATATCATATCATTCAAGGTTTTTTTTGAATATTTGAAAAATCTACAAGTATAACTAAAGTTTTTCACGCACACCTATAACTAGTACTTACGTTAACTTTGTATAAAATTGCATTCATCTATACTAAGAAGATAGAACTTGTCCTTAAGTTCGCTTACCATAAGAGTAACTGAGATTCATTCAATCCAATGAATCAAAATTATCCTCAAAAATTTTTTCCTCAAACTTGAAAACCCCAATCAATTAAGAAAAAAAATACTAAATAGAATTAAAAAATTGACTTAAAAATGACTCAGATATATTACTATCATTGAATAAGTAGTGAGTTTCAATAAATATTGGAACTCACAGTTAAATTAATGACAAATATAACAGTCACATCATTAAGTTAGATTTTTAAGTTAATTTTTTAAATCTGTGAAACATTGCTCATCAATTAATACTCTTTTTACAATAACCAAAGTTAGACTAAGTCTTCTTTGTCCTATCTCTTTCTTCTCTCTCTATTAGGGATGCTGAATAATTTGTTTTTCGATTGTAGAATTCTAAGGAATACTTTGTTTTTTATTTTTTAAAATTTAATTTCCCAATAAATGTTATTTTTATAATTATCAAAAAAAAAAATTGGTATTAAACTGTGCCTTTAACAATGGGTAATTTCTAGCGGATATATACACTAAAAATTAACCATTCCAAGCATAAAGAAAACAAAAATGTGATCTATCTACAAGTATGATGAAGTACAGTTGGCAAAACACAAGCATTTTGAACTGTTCCATTTGTCTAGTATGAAGACTTGGTATACTTACGTTTGAAACATTTGCCAAGTTTGAGGGAATCCTCGAGCCATGCCCATTATGAAAATTTCAACGATGGAACCATGCCAATTGAAAACCAGTAGTTTCCAATGAACTTCACTCTCGTTTTCTCCTCTCATTGAACATTCTTCTCTTTGTTTTCCACCAATTTATTAATTGCTTTTATCTTTCTTGTTTGACATGTATTTAGTATTGACAACCAAGAACCATTACAAACCACATAATTTATGGACGCTTGACTACTGTACTAATTTACGAATATGTACAAATTTTTTTTGATATGTATTACGGATTGATGGAGTAATTATCTCCAACGCTTGTCCTGTAGTCTCTCTCCTTATGCCTAGGATAATTATCAAACAAAAATTCTCTAGAGTGATCTACAGAAAATAATCAAATTCAACATCTACATTTACACACAGTAGACTTGTGACCAACTTATCAATTCTCTAGGATTAGTTCGAAAAACATCAAGAAAACTATATAAATGGAAACTTTGATGAAACTGTTGCATATGTACTATTTTCTCTCATTTATAAATCGTGTGTAATCAAGTTCATATCCACCTATTAACCAAGCAAGTTTGGCCAGTTAACCTGATTTTAACCTGAACAATTGTCCCGAGTCCCAACATCATCAAAAATGGGCATAGATTGCATCAAAAAGAAAGAAAAAAAAGGAAAAAACTAAGCCAGATAACCAAGCCTCTGATAAGAATGTGAACAATCTTTGGCCCAAGTGCTATTTTTGTCTCACTAGTTCTACAGGCTATCAGATACTTTTTCTTCTGCAATCTCAAGTACAAATACAATCACAACTCTCCTATGGTAAAATCACATAACAGTACTTTGCAAAAAATACATAACAGTACTCTATAGTAGTAGCCAATTTCACTTCACTAAATTAATTAGAAGTACCACAAGTATGAAGATATACATGTATACCATGTGAACAGACCATAGTACCCATAATAGAAGCCTGTTACTAGCAGACACAAGCCAATTGCTGAAAATATGACATCTATGATGGGTTTGCTTAAGTTGATGAAACCAGGAAAGGAACATCTTGTACCAGTAATAGCTTATAACCGATCTCTATCCAGTGTTCATTGGGCCTGTATTTACTGCCTTTTGGAAGACCCTGACTACTGGCATTCCATCACTTTCATCATTCCTAGCCCTCCATGAGCGGTCTTTTTTTCTCTGAGGCTTCTTATGTTGTTTATGGGATGCACTTGGAGGCTTTTTCTTAACAGGGCCCGTACTAGAAGCTAGACCATTAGCTATGTCAAATGAATTTAGATCATTCAGCACATGCTCTAGACTGGGTGCACCTTCACCTTCACTATCTGAACCATCCTCATCATCAGTTGAGTCTGATTCATGCATCTCAGACTTGGTGGGTCCAACAGCATCGTTTGCAGCAGCTTCCTCATTTGAGGATCCAGGGGGCAGCTCAAAGTGGGGCAGCTTGCCGTCAATGTAATCCTTCAAAATTTGGCGGGCAGCTCTAGTTTCATCTGGCAGTCCACTTGAGGCAACATAACCACGAGATGCACAATATGCCCTCAAAAGTTCTGATGCCGAGGGAGGTCGAGACTGCAGCTCATATGGCTTGGGTTTTGGCAGCGAGATTTTGTAGACATCTTCAATGATGTGCCTAGGTACTCGATTTGCCACAACCTGTACAGCCTCTCTGTGCTCCGTCATTCGATCAATGGGTAAAACCCCAGAAGCAATCATCTCATATCTTGAGCTTGTGAATGATGGAAAAACCAATCCAGGGCAATCACAGAGTGTAAGTTTAGCGGATATTATCAGTGTCTGGAAATGCTTTGTCTTCCCTGGCGTTGATGTTACGCCTGTCCGCTTTTCGCCTACCAAAGCATTGATTGTTGAGCTTTTCCCCACATTAGGGTACCCCACAAATCCCACAGTTACACTATTAGATGCTGTACTTCCTGCAACATTTCCACTCGGAGTATGAACATGAGATGGGTCTGTTGTACAGGAACCTGATTTCCTCATCAACACTATCTCCTCTGCCTCAGCCTGTAGATGGGCCAACAATTCCTCCCTGCCATATATTTTTGTATTAGCATCAACACATTCTTGCAGGCTACTTTGAGTCTCTAAAGGGACACTAAGCTGTTTTCCTTCCAGAGCTGCAGAAGCAGCCTTTGCAGACCAGAATACAAAAAGAACCCCATGAAGGCAAAAGTACTTTGCCCATTGGTATCTGAAACAATGCCAAATCACCACATAAAATAATAATAATAAATCTTAGGACATTAAAAATGGGATAATTGACAGGTAGCAAAAGAAACATTGATGGGATACTAACCTGACAGAGAATGGTAAAAGATCTGCCTTATTAATAAGAAGAATTGTCTTCTTGTGTTCATCAATTTCTCGCACATATGCCTGGATTTTGACATAGTCAATTTTATGACAACATTGTCAGCTAGTCTGGAAATTTGGTAAACGACTAAATATTATAAGGAAAAAAACAAGTATTGTATGGCAGAGGCATGTTCAATTCTGATCAATTTCCTCAGTTTAATATAAATTTCCTAGGTCATAAATTCATCATGAAGAGAAGAAAAAAGGGACGGCCATGCTATGACTTTGTAAAATATCAATTCTCGTAAATCATCATATAATGCTAAAAAATAATTGCTTTTTGCAGTAATATAATACGCTCCAGAAAACAGGTTCAAACCTTGAACACAGTCATCAACTTCTATAATGCCGAAGTATAGGTTTTGTATCTAACTTAAACCCTCTTATTAACTTTGCATTGGTGGAACAAACTGAGTAATTGTCTAATCAAATAACACTCGATCAGATGCTTCCAGAAAACTACACAAGAGATGCAGAATAGGACCCTTCATGGTAGAGCAAAACAATAATAGAAAATGACTAAACTACCTCTAACACTAATATACTCTAACACCCTCCCTCAAACTCATGATGTGATAGCAAAGACCATCAAGAGTTTGCCATGCATAAAACGGAAGCACATAATAGTGTGAGACTTCATAATAAACTCCGCCAATTGCATAGTAGAAGAAAGGAAGGGGGAGAGAATCGAGAGATATGGTGCCAAGCACAAAATGATGACGCACAAAGTAGCAATCAATCTTAATATGCATTGTACAATCATGAAACACTGAGTTGTGGCAATTTGAATAGCACTTGTGTTGTCACAATATATAGGGATAAGATTAGATAAAGAAATGCCAAGATCACCGAGCAACCAACATAACCAAATTATTTCAGTTGTGGTAGATGTCCTAACACAACAATTAGTTTCAACTGAGGAACGAGCAACTACAATTTGCTTATTACTTTTTCAAGAAATAAGAGAATCTACAGGAAGAGACAAAAACAAGGGGTGAACTTGAGATCCATAGAGTCTGGTCAGCATTTGAATAAGCTCTAATACCATGTTAGAGCATCCAACCCAAAATTGATTGACAATGGGTGGTATAGCCCCTCAAGTATATAAACAAACTTTGATGGTCCTAATTATTCGATGTGAGATACAAGCTCTCTTAACATCCTCCTCCACGTGAGGCGTAAGCTCGTACGTGGGTTCAACAAACTAACAAACAACTATGCATACCGAGAAACTCAAATAGGTAGCGACTTGACCCACTGACCATCCATAACCTAGCTCTGATACCATGTTAAGATTAATTGCAAAGTATAGAAAATAAGAAATAGAAAAATCTTTAAAACAACTATTAGTTTGCTTACATCAACTACATATGAGATACGGAATAGGAACACTTTTTAGTAGGGCAAAACAATCATAGAAAGTGACTAAACTACCCCTAACAGTAAAATACTCTAACAAACACATTGAACTACGAGTCTATAACCTTTCTGAATAAGTGCTCAAATCGCAAATTTCTACATATCAATACAGTGGGCATGGCAGCTACAGACCCCAAAGAATTCTCAAGAAACTTCTCTCATCACGTCATGTTACCCTAATAGGCCTAATCTATGAAAGCGGTAAAATATAAACCCAAAAAAAAAAAATTATCTTATCCGGAAAAAAAATAAAACATTACCTCAAGATCAGGGCAACGGTAGAATAACGGATCCCGTGCATCAACAACCATTACAAGCTGTATTAGAGAGAAAGAGCAAGACAAATATATATATCAACATTTACACAGATTAAATGACATGAATGATGACCTCTTTATTCATAGAACAAGGGAAAAAAGAAAATAATAAATTGAAGCCAATGTTTTATGTAGTTTCAAAAAATGAAGAACTACTGCCTCCACGATAATGGTTAAAGAGACAGGATGTTTTTCAACTCCCAGCAACAAGAAAATATATAATTCAAAAGTCAAATGCTATTCTATAGCATGTCTCGTCATAAAACCTCACTACAGAAGATATGCAAACAACTACAACAGGAAAAACAAAGACAAGTAACTACAAGTAATGAAAAGGGGTTTAATTCTAGAAAAAAGCTACAAACAACCTTTTAAAGTAATTCTAAAGATGGGTCTTCATGATCTTGTTAACATATATCATTCCTTTAGGGAGAAACGCAAGAAGCAACTTGTCAAGTGTATATATTCTGATGTACTATACTAATGCGGGAAATCGCAATCAGACACTGTCTATTACAAGTAGATCATGAAACATGCTACGCAGAAAACATTAACAGAGGGAAAATGCAAGATTGATCCCGCTCATTCATTAGAAGAAGTGCAGCCAATTGGATACATGAAAACTACAAAGAACCATCAAAGTGGTGAAGCACCTGACTGACATAAGTTGGTGGCCCTTTTTCCTATTCTGGTTGGGAGTACAATAAGTTAAAGGACCTTTCCGGGTCAAAAGGTAAATGTTTCATAACAATTGTGGACCAGATCTCCAACATTTTCAATGACTTTAGCTAATAGCTCTTCCTAAGGATCCAGCCAATGAATTTGTCAACTATCTAACATGCAGTCCTCATCAATTCCTAGGCTGGACTAACTTTATAAAAGAAACAAACCATGCATAACTTAGCTTTGTAGCTAATTCCAGATGGTCGGGACATTGGCTTTGATAAACGGAGTTAAGTAGTAGACATGAACGTGGCACAAAAAAAGTGGTGGCAATGAATAGAGATCTAAAATTCATGCATCAAAAAGGGGTTTCAATAAAATTGCAGAACATAGTTCGCCATTTGCATTAATAACCCAAAATAGAAACATAATTCTGCTGTATTCGTTCCCGTAGATATTATTGTCACTGAAAAACTTTTGTCTCGGACAGGGTCTTCAAAGTCACTAAAAAAGGGTGACTGCCACATGACATTCCATTTCTTCTCGGCAGCATTATATGTTATCAACTGTGTGAAGATTTCATAGAATACATGACCACAACCGTTGATAACTCCCCATATGCCACAAAAATCTGGTACAGTCATCAGGTCATGTTGACAAGATGACAAAGAACTTAATGCATATTGAAATTCTGCTGAGGCACGCAACTCAGATTGGGGAGAGGAGAGGCACATCCTTTCAGCCTCACTGCGCTTGAGGTGAGGCAACTTCACCGAAATTCAGCCTAGGTGTCTGAGTCACAAATCAGCCTGAGCCCAAGACCCATGAGATGTGGGCTCTTTACCCTTTAGTGATACAAGTTGGACCACTGGACCTATTGCTTCCTCTTTTTCTACTTCTTATCCAGCCGGCAGGGGCGAATCCACAGTGGGGGCAGTGAAGGCAACTGCTCCACTGGAATTTTAAAAATGTTAGGGGTATAGGCATAATTTTCAAAAGCTCTAGAATTGTTTGAAAGTTGCCCCCAGTTAAATTTTTTGGAAAGACTACGGGGAGGTTTTATATTTTTCTTCATAAGTGGGGTCTTTAATAGATTTAGAGCCTATACTCAAGGAGAACATCCGATTTTGATAGCTTTTGTAATTTTTTTTATTTATTGGACGGTAGTTGGTGTTTTAGGTAGCTTGCCTATCTAATTTTTTGCCTAATAGTATAGACAATTGAACTTAGATTTTTTGAATTTGAACTGAGCGACTATGATTCCAATATCCAATTTATTGATCTTTTTTAAAAATTATTTGTAATTGCAACGTCTGTTGAAAATTGGAGGTTGAGGAGGACATAAAGGAGTTCAATCTGCTTGGGTTGAATGTCTGTTTAAATTCTTTGGTGATTGGGGCTTGTATTTGCATGTTAAAAATTCTTTGCTTTTTCAAATTCTATTGATAATGAAATGACCATTCAACACTTTTAAAATATGAAAACTCGTGGTGAAAAATCATGAACATGTATTAGATGTTTGAGAATTTGAATTTTTTCATGTATAGATATATGAATGCTAATTTTATTTTTTTTCTGTAAGGTCTTATCTACAACTTTATAGTAGGCATTTTTTGTTAACTCTTTTTGTATATGGCTCGTATATACGGTTAGTGTCTTTAATTGACGTTTTTTTAGTGTAATTATATTTTTCTGAACATTTGGAGTTTGAATATTTATATGGTTTAAGTTGCCCCCACTACAAAACTTGTCTGGCTCCGCCCCTGCCAGCCGGCAAACAGACTTCTGACCATGACTACTTTTGCCCTTTTTTTTTTTCCTACTTTTGGTCACCGTTCTATTTCTTCCTTTTTTTTTTAATTTGCTTCTGTAGACCATAAAGAGCTTGCTAAAATCTGGGTTTGCAATCCTTAACTTTACTATGCTACTTGGTCCCGAAAAAAATATATACGGTATATATGAGGTTTCTTGGTTCTAATTAAGGTCCTTACTGGCCAAGCACTGTCTTTGAGGGACTGTTCTGATTTTTTTCTTGAATTTTTCCTGTGTTTGATTAAAAAGACTCTGAACCTTTTTTCTTTTTCTTTGTGTGTGGTGCGGTGGGAGGGAGGGATTCTCCTTTTTTAGGTGTTTACACAAAAGTTGGTCTAATTGCTTGATTGTCTTATGAATTAGTATTTCTTGGTTTGTTCAATTACTTACTTTCATTAATTGTTTTCTAATATCCTCAGCCTTCTTTGATTTTGGCCTATGATTCAAAAGGCATTGCCTATATTGAAAAACTTGCCTATGCTAAAATATTTACTTATATCCACGACATGTGCGTTGCTTCGATGAAGCCCACGCTTCACCTTGATCCTTGCACATGTGCCCCAGAAGACGAAGACCTTGGCATCTCGGTGCCCAAAGGTAAGAGCAACAAATGTTCATACCTAATATGGTACAGTCTCTACATTAGACAACTTAAAGACACCGTGACTCACCAGATCACTGCGTTCAACCACCCTCCAAAGCTGTCTCCAGATATCCAGGTTCTTCTCAAATGGAGTAAGAACAAGCTTCTCATTCTCCTCAAGTCTGCAAGAATTAATTTGCTATGAGAACAGAAAGCATGAGAAATGAATTAGGAACAATAAAAATATCTTTGACTGTGACTAAAGTACCAAAGCCAAGAATATACAAATAGAGGCCAAAGGAATGACCTCAAAACCGTTTATCAGATTTACGCAATACAAACAGTAGGTATTATTAAAAAGCCCAAAATAAGATACCTTCAATCTTGTATGCGCATTAATTTCCACTTACAAGTAGATCACATACATCTTATTTATCCCCAACTAATAATAACTCCTAACAAGGGAATAAGGTCATCCGAATACATAATATTGTACCAGTAAGATAGAAAATAAAGCATAGATGAATTAGGAAAGTGTGTTGTACTATAACCGTGACATGGACAACAAATTAATCGGCATTATAAGTCTGACCTTGCAAGGCTTCGACGCCAAACTAAGAAAGCTTGTCTCTCATTGGTATCAAGCTCTTCCGCAGACATTTTAGAATTCCATGGCGGCCTGAAGACGAGCAATAAATACAATAGTCAGACCATAAACCAGATAGTTGGGTAATTTGTTTAAAAATAGGAAAGCACACCTGCGCGGCACACGAAGACTGCTAGCATGCAATGCCTCCTCTTTCTTCTGTTGTTCTCTCCTTTCACCGGGTGTCATCTGATTGGAGCTAGCGCTTGAGTCCCTATCCCCAAAAATCAAAGCATAGCCATTAAGGAAGAAATTCATACAGCCCACATAAAATAATCAGCATGTTAAACAAAAACTGATCTGTTAAACATTCTGAGCAGCTAAAGCTCAGCTCAGTCTTGGCTGTTCAAATTAAAATAAACCAAATTTGATCCAATTTTTAGTCTCTCTGAATTCAGAATGTGGGTATCGGCTTGGCTTGAATAGGTTCATGTATATAAATTATCCTAATTTTATTGCCAAACAATACCTATCCAAAAGAGTAACAACTCTGAACTTAATCCCAAATAACGTCATAAAATATCCACTTTACTTTCTCTTCACTAATAATTTTTTGCAAAATCTGAACGTCTGGGGGCATCAGAGGACCTTTGACTAGCTCACCATCAGTCTTTAGTTTTTCTTTTTCTTCCTTTTCCATGTCTACGAGAGCCAAGTTGCAGCTCATAGTCTTCTCTTCAAGGTGTAGATTTTCTTCTTACAAAGTTATGATATTAACAACATATATAATGGACTGATGTAGGCATTAGGGCATAGAACCAAAAAACTGATTTCAAGCAATTAAACATGAGCACAACTTGTTGCCGGAAAAAAAGCATGAGCACACCTAAGAATATAAATCATTATGTAACACAGACACAAGTAATAGGTCGTGCAATACCATGTTCACATTGAGTGCTCAAATGGGTGTCAAACCATAACAAAAACCATGAATTAAAGTGAATTTATGAGACTATGAACCATAACACAGAAAATTCTAATAAAACAAGTAAAATTGCACAAGAATATATATATCACTAAACACTTAAATGGGCATGAAACAAGCCAAAATAAAATCAATTTTTGTAAATATTAGAATCAAATTAGACTTACAAGTCGATAAGGAGGTTGGGGACGGGATTCTCCACAGAGAAGAGACGTTGGGCCTCATCGGCCTGCTCAATAACGGCATCAATATCGTTGACATCGGTGATTGATTCAAGTATCTTCTTCTGCTGATTCTTGTAGTCTCTCCCCTTTTCCTTAGACTGCTGGATCATTTGGTTGTGGTGCTTCACTAGTGCCCTCCCTAACCCAGTTTTCTCGCTCTTCCCCATATTGTTTTTTCCCTTTTTCTTGCCAAATCGAAACAAACCCTAAAACCCAAAACCCTCAAGCTACAGTTCGAAAAGGTTTCTGTATCTGTATGTGATTCAATGGCAGTGAATGTTCTGTATCTTCCGGTACGAATGAAGCCGAATAAAGCCCTAACAGGAAGAATGATCGTGTTTAATGTATGGTTAAATTACATCTAGACCCCTGAGATTTGTCACTTAAACAGATGGACGCCCTTACATTTGACAAATTACACTGAAACCCTCTGTCAGTAACAGCTAACTACCATATTTAACCGAAGTTGCTAAATGTCTATTTTATCCTTGATAAAATTTAGATAAAACAAAAACTCAAATTCAAAACTGGCCAATCCGACTCAAACACAAAACCCATAAAATATTCCATTTTTTTACCTCTATCCCATCTTCATCCCAATTTCTACGCAATCATCAACACTAAAGGCTCCTCCATCACACTCTACCATGCTACAACCCTTCTCCCAGAACAGTGAACATGGACTCTTCCTCTCCCCTTTGTCTCTCTCTGCTTGGTGATGTGGTGGCTGCTATGATTACTTGGAGGGATCTGATGGTGGCTAAGGTTCTTGGAGGTGGAGGTGGTCTCGACAACGTCGATTTTGAGAGTGTGATTTCGGTGGAGACAGTTGTCACTGTCGCATGGGCGTGATACGGTGGTAGTTTTGATATTTTGTGGTATAGAATTTGGGGGTTAGTGTCTACTTCATGGTGGCAGATTTGGTTGGTGTAGAATCAGTGGTGACAAAAGGGCCAGAATGTATGCAGTGGGTTTGGATTGTTGTGACTTGGTTAATTGTCTGTGTGGGGTTTAGTGATGGCTTTGGTGTTTTTAGTAGTAGATTTTGGGGTTGGGGTGTTCTAGATGGTGGGAAATATGGGTGGATGGTGTTTCGATGGTGGTGGATTGGGGTGGAGTAAATCTCTTGCGCATCTCTCTCTCTATCTCTATCACTCTCCCCCTTCATCTCCCCCAAACATTGCTTGGTGGTTTTTTGCAACAATGGGTACACGGGGTTAGGGTTGAAGGATTGGACGGGGGAGGGGAATAATGGGGGTTGATTTTGTGCTAGATGTATTTAGGAGTTGAAGATAGATCAAATGTGTTTTGAGGGCATGGATAATTATTGGATTTTCTCTTGAATTTCAGAAAATTTTATTTAAAATAATATGTTGATGTCATTCAAATTTGACGGCAAGTTAAACGGAGCTATCGACAAGGGATGTTTGTATGTTATATGTATCCATAATTCAAGGGTTGATAATATTATTTTTCATACATGAGGGGTCCGTGTGAATTATTAACAAACCTCACGAGTCTAGATATAATTTACCCATGCATTGTGTGGGTGGTAATGCATTCTTTTTTGTTTTTTGGGTGCAAAAAGTACTGCACTCGTAGTCGTTTTTATTTATTAATTTATGTTTAACAAATTGTATTATATCAACTTTGTGTCTTGTTAAAAAACCATACTCTAGAACATTGCTCGAATTTCTTATTCTGAAGATAAAAGTTCGAATTTTAAAGTTCACATTAAAATTTAGTGGCTGATCGCTATACTATTATAGGTAAATTCATTCTCAAGAAGAATAATAGGCTCGATCAGGGCCCTGACGATCCCACTAATGAGAGTCTATCGGAGTGGTCTCTGAGCACTCTGCTTTACTCTACCTTATTTTTAACCTAGAAAAAAAAGAAAAACAAAAAAGGAAGTAATTGTCCATCTCGCAATTGCTGTTAGCCTTCAAGCACCTCAATCTTAACTAAAGATCATTTCCCTAAATTTGAAACCCATAACCCTATGTTTTCCCTTCTTTATCGTTTTCAATCTCAAATAAAGGGCTCAAATATGAACATGTGGATATCACGTGAAGTTGGCGGGTTGAACGGGGCGGAAAAAAGAGGGAGAAATTATTCATGTGCCCCTGCCTATCCATCATGTGATGTACATGTGCATGTTTCCTTCATTTATTTGGACGACATTTAGGAGTAACGACCAAATCTACCTAATTTGTAGAGGTGAAGGATGAGATTTACTAAATTAAAACATTAGAGATGAAAGTTTAATTTTTAGCAAACCTTAGAAACTATTGGTGCAAATAACCATTTACATAAAGCCATGGAACATGTCAAATACAAGGGCTATCATAACGTTCTTAAATCAATAACCATCTTTTAGTTAATGTAACCTTTTTTTATTTTATCTCTAGGGACTAATAAGGAGTAGAACAACAATATTCACATCAACGGGGGTTTGCTCCCGTTTCGGTGTAAATCAAAAATTACAAGTTTATGTCTCTTTTTTTTTGAGCTACCCAAACAAAATATGGAGGATTAAGGAATAATTAGGGTAAACAGGAGTTCATATTGATTCATTTTGCTCCTTTCTAATCTCACTTAGATGTGCAAGTGTGGTATAAAATTCATTTATCCATGACTCACTGGTTGTATCAAATCAATTTGAACACAATATCACTAGAAAGTTCACATTGTGGTATCCATGTTAGTTAGTGTGGCTATAAAGTTCTTCAAACTCCATGGACACAAATCAACTTGGTTATGCACTTTTATGGGTATTGCTTGTGGAGAATTTTTTTGTCTTTCTTTAACACATTACATACCGGCGTCAAATGACATACATCATGATAAAATATTATGCTTTCCTAATAAATGGTTGTCACATGCATGGGCGGAGGCGGTATATGCCTAGGTAGGAACGGAATAAGAATTTTATATTGAGAGGGCCAACAACAACATAGACAAAAACTTAATTTAATAGGTTTATTTAACGGTCATTGTGAATGATAAATTTTTATGCAATGAAACTAGAGTCACTGTACAATAAAAATCATTTTGTATGCTTATACAAAATCAAAGTCACAAATTCATTGGAATCAATTTTAAATAATTTTAATTAGTTTACGTTTTGTACAAGAATATAATTAGTCTTTTTTTTTTTGCCGTTCGTAGATACTATGCTTACTAATTTGTTGTCTTTTTGGGTCAATGAACTTTTAATTATTAAATAGAATGTAAAATATAAATTATTATTCTATTTCCATTGATTATAAAAATAAAATAAAAATTAAAGCTTGTTAAAATGTTCGTGTCCACCTAGACACGATTTTCTGGCTCCGTCCCTGGTCACATGTCCCTTTGTCATAGTTTTTTTTTTTTAAAAGCCAACTTGTATATCCCACAAACTATTTTTGTGGCGGCCTCTTATTGGCCGTGCACACAACATGACACTATCACTTTGTGTGTTAAATCTATTCAAACTTTTCTCATTATTTGTGGGTTGATTTACATATGATAGTTTCATCTAAATCAGAAAAGTAGTGGCTAAATTCACCAAAATCGGATTAACTATTCATGAAAAATATAGATATTCCCAAGTGCAATATAGTCTAGCCAAAGGGCTTAGACTTTAATCCTACCCTCCTTGAAAGCATCCTAGGCATGGTTTGGTGATTACGGTTCATCAAAAGATGTTCCGCCATTACTTTTATTTTTTTATTATTATTATTATTATATTATTGTTCTTGTCATCTTTTCGTAACAACAAAAATTATTTAAATTATACATCCACTGCACTACACTCGTGATTAAAACATAACATTCGAATGTGTGTGATAATTCACAAACTATGTGCATAACACATATCAGAACGAAAATTAAATCTCGAAATAATAAATTCTGAAGTATTTTCATTCGAGTTATCCCAAAATGGAGTCTTTCATTACTACATCTACATGTATTGTTTATATTTATTTATTTATTTATTTTTTAAATAATCATGGTCCACCAATTTATATGATTTTGTTGATGGGACAAGATATAATTTAGAAGAAAAGAAAATTGTCTATTTATGTGCAATTATAATGGTCCATCTTATCCTATCCTATCACATGCCACCATTTTTTTTTTTTTTTGGTATTAGTGGCTATGGTAGCTAGGTGTCCCATGCAACATCAAGAATATCATCACAATAGTAATTTTCATGTGGATACAAGTGTAGTGGTGATGAATTGTTAAACCACAAAATTTTTCTAGCAATAATAATACCATTTGTATTTAATTGTGGGATCTAATACATTACTATACCATCATTGAATTGTGAGCGTATTCTATTTAATATTAAAATCTATTGTTAATTTAATAATGATAGTAAATTAAAGTGTCTAAATTAAAATTTTAAATTAAGTTCGAATAATATTTGTCTTCTAGGAATATGTTTTATTGTTAATTGGTTCACCATTAGGGGATAGCATTGCCGAACTTTTTACTTTTTATTTTTCAATAACATATGAAAAAAAAAATCAAAAAATGGTAAATTTTTATACCAAAAAGTGATAAATTTCACCCAAAAAAAAATGTAATAAGTGAACCCAAAGGGTAAGTGCACCTACCAAGTTAATAAATTTTGCCCAAAAATATAAAAAAAAATGAAGTTGAACCAAGAATAAATTTTTAGCCAATTCAAAAGATTATATCTCTTAAGAGTGGTCTACTGGGTTGAGTCTTACCTTTGATAATTCAAATATCTCAGATTCAAAATTTTCTTAGATTCAAAATTTTCTTACACCCTCTAAGGACTAGCCACATTTGTCCTAGAGTGTGTTTGTTTTAGGCATTAGGAAAAAGGATTGAAAAAAATAGTGTTTGACCCATCTTATCCCATTTATTCCCATGTGTTGGTTAGATATTTTGAGTTCGGTATTATCACCTATAAATAATCTAGGCTCAGATAAATAGGGCATTTATACCCATGAACACCTTCTTGAATAAACTCACCTATTTGGTGGGTTAAAATAATGAGGTTGGAAAATATTTGTGCAGAATACATTTTTGTCCTTAACAAAAACAGATATAAATACTAAACATGTATATTGATTGGACTAGATTGTAGTTCTTTGTAATTTTAATAGTTATATTATCATTCAATATTCCATCAAAATAAAGTGTTGTAAGGTACAAAGGTGGATCCACAACTTTTTAATACTTGAACTAAACAAAGGATAATAGACATGTACATTATTTTCTTTGGATGGATAGATATGCAATGGACGAGTTTGTCCAAACCGGTCCTTCTTAATGCCTAAACTAAACACACTTTAAATGTCATACTCTAACCCAACTCAAATCACGTAATCAACGAAATCCTGCAAAAAAAATTAAATAAATAGATTCAAAAGATTATTATAATTGGGAGTTGGGTGCAACTCTCCCAACTGTCCCTGAACCTTGGACAGTGACTCAAAACTTAATTGCTGGCTTTGATTGCATATCAGATGGACCCTTGCTTGATCCAAAATTTAGAAAATGAAAAATAAAATATCTTGGAAGGAAAAAGGTATTAAACTATTACAAAAGAAAATATAGTACATTACATAATGTCTTAGCCAACATGATCTGGGGGTGTCGGGGACTGGGCTATCCCACATCGGATACCTTCAAGTGTGTGTGTGTGTATTTTTATAAGTCTCCACCTGACCCTTATTCTGTTAGAGTAAGTGGTTAAGTATGAGTTAAAAAACATGACACGTGAATAAAGTCAAATTTATATAATCTTATTCTAATATGTTTAATCACAATAAGAATTTTACCACTTTATCAAATTTCGTCTTTTCACACTTAAATGTACATCATACATGCAAATACCCTAAAATAAAAAATAAAAATCAATACGAAACCTCCATAATAAGTGAAAGGGTATATTTTTGTACCATATTTATATTTTTATCAAACAAAAGTGTGCTATTTATAATTTATTTATTTTTTTTATATTGGATTATAAATCGACAACTGCATATCTTAAATGGGATGTTGATTATGATTTCAATTATACAGCGACAGATGACCCACTACAATGATCAAAGGGACAAGGACTGTAATGATATGTGGTTATGGTGCATTCCATGGGACAACTCACTATTGTCTTCGAATCACATAATAAAAAGAAGGTAAACAAATCAAAGAGCAATTCTCGACCTAATTAGTGACTTAATTTAATATTATCATCGAATTAATTATAAATTTTAATATTAAATAAAATTCACTTATAATCTAATGATTATATTAAATTTAGTCTTCAAATACTATTTTCATTGTTTATTTTATTTCACTAAATTTAAATAGATTAATTTTATTTTTTGTTACACAACTATTCTCTCGAGTTCTCGAGTTCAATGACGGCTGTCGAGACATGAGCTAAATTAAAACATATCCACAAGGGTGGCTGACATTTTATGCACTTGCTCTTTTTTCCTTTTTCACTTAACTTTTTCCCTTCTTCGTAGCAAACTTTTTTTCTTTTTGAAGGCATCCACCTATTTCTTGACCATTTTTTTCTGTCATGTCTTAGTCAAGAAAGAGTCAGATGAACACGAATAAGTCCAATTGATAAAAGTCAAAACAAAGGATCCCAATGTAAAATGAAAGTGGACTAGTCGCACCCAATCAAAGTGCATTACTACTTTCATCTGAAAGAAGAAAAAGAAAGTGCTTTACAAAATGTAGCATGAAAAACAGAGCACTTCAATATTCTCTTTTATTATAGTATTTAAATTAGCAACCATGAGAATGCATCATTAAATTAAAGAGTCCAAAAAATTGATCTCACTGTATCAAATATCAATTTTTTTAAAAAAATCTTTCTATAATTACATAATTTAAAATTAATTTGTATCATTTTTCAAAAAAAAAATGACAAGTTCTTTCAGCATTATTCCCCCAAAGTAATTATTCTCATATTCAGACCCATAGTTTCACAAATGTTATCCCAAACATTTTTCGATTGGCCAAACATTTATCACAAAAAGCAAATTAGGGGTTATCTTTCAAATGCCAAAAAAGGGGAGTGAAAATGCAAAAGAGGTGGTGGTAAAGGAGGATTTCACACCTTGGATCTTTTCCAAAGGGTAATAGATGGAATTCCCAGCAGAAAAAGCAAATGGCCTTGGCACAGCTGCTTAATCTTCTGAGGCTAAGCCCCTTTTATTGTTCATTCACATTACATTCCTCCATATATGTACATCACATCACACACAACAAAAAGGGGGATTACCCAGGTGGACATAACTTCCGCTACTAATTTTACATAACCAAACTACACCTTACAATACATTTGATCAATTTGCTTTTGAAATCTCTTCCATATTTGCTTAAGTTGACACTCTTTGGGTTTCTTAGGTTGTGGGCATTTCATAGCCTCTTCAAAACCTTATTCCCATAGGGTACTCCAACAATGTCCCCTTGCAAAACCTCAGAATTTTCCATTGGTTTGCCTCTCCTGTGCATGAAATGGACATGGATCAAGTTAGATCATATTCACTAGGCAAAAATCCAAAATACAAGTCACAGAAGATACGAAGCCAGAATCCCCCAAAAACCAAATTTAACATGTCCACTAAGCTGGAGGGGAGGTGAGCCACTGCCCAAACACTGGTTGAAAAGTGAGGTTTTCAAAAATTGATGGAATGAGTTGCAGTATGAAAACCATAACTTCTAAGTGCTTCACTTGCGCACTTAGCCTTGCCAAGTTTCCAAGCGATGAGGTTCCACATAAACAAAAAGAAAACCAAGATATAAAAAAGATGGAGCAGGAAGCTAAACAAAGAACACAGAGAGAGTATCCTTCTACACAGTCAATAGTCTTTTGTTTTTCCTGTGTCCAAAGAATAACAACAGCCTTTTTTCCCCCTAAGCATGCTGCTGGCCTGCCAGAGTGAGTCTAGCCCCCCAAACATTATGATGCAAGAAAACAAATTGAAGGAACAAGGGCTCATATCCAACCAGTATATGCTGCAAAGTCTGACTCAATCATCCATAATTTGCTAACTGGGTTCAACATCCCAATTTCACTGCATTTTTAAACCAACCTTTAAATTTCAGCCAAATTTCAAGCTTTCATATCTAATTTTCTGAAATTCTTTCATTTAAAAAAAAAAAACACCTAGAGTTTCATTTAAAATATTTCCCTTGGATTCTTCAGAATCCCAGCCAAACCATGCCCACAAAAAATTGGGTATTGATGGGGCTATGACTCCTTTACAATTCTAATTACACCAATTAGAGGGAATTCGGTCGGTCCTACTATATCTAGGTGATCACAAACCCAATTTATGGTGACTGATTGGACAGGACAAACTATGAGGAGAAAATAGAATTAAGAGACAAAAACCACACTGACGAATAGCCTCTAAAATTTCAAGAGCAGATGAATCTACCACATCTCATAGCACCAAAATATCCTACATTCACTACCCAAAAATCTCCCGAGTCAGCTCACTTCACCCAAACTTAACTCATACTAGCACACTAAAAAACAATCAAACATAACACATAACATCACGAAGTACTAAAGCAGAATAAAAAAGCACACAGAAATAGCGTTTATCACTTACCGGCATCAGGATTTAATCCTTGAAAATGACCAAATCGGCAATTTCCAACAATGGGTTTAAGCAATCCGGCGAGAATTTTCTGGCAAACAAGTACTCATTTGACGAATTCGATTGCCTGAGCGTGTAAATCAGCTCAGGGGACACCTCAGGAGGCCTATAAGTATGTGGGTGTCCATTAACACTATCTGTCCAATTAACTCGAGTCAGTGTGTAATGTGTACAACCATTTGGATCCTCCATAGACAACAGTGTTGGGAAGTAATGCTCTTCGGGGTAACAAGACTGAACCCTCAAACAAGGAAGCTTGAATTTCCTCCACAGCTTCCTCTCCCTAACAACCAACAAGGCATGCCTTCTTGTTAGGATGAAAAATTGAGACCCAACTCTGAATTTTTCAAAGGGAACTTCTGGCAACATCACGTTTTTCCCTCTAGCATTGTATCGATCCCCCAATGTGGATTCATTGGAAAGAATTTCAATAAAACTACGGAACTCAAATTCTGGAAATCGACTCATCTTGGACATTTTCAGATCAAAAAGTGTGTGGTATACAAAATTGAAAGAGTGCAGCGGTATGCAGTGTTGGGAAATGAGTGCAAAATAGGCGTTGGCGGAGTCATCTAAAAGAGCCGTGGCAAGTAAGCGGCGGGCAGCGGAGATGAGTGTCGGTGATGAACGCTGAGTTGGTTTTGATGGAATGAATCTATCTTGAAACACACCTCCTGGTGGATCAATTTTCACCGTCGGGTCGGCGTGAATGTAGATATTGTACAGATTGTGAGATGTGTTGCCGAAGAACTGTTCCCACAAGGTTGCGAAGTGGAGATTCGAGTTGGTTAGGAAGAGAAATGCGATCTTGGGTTTGGTATTTGTGGCTCCAAGTCGGGATTTGGAAGATGGGTATGATGATGATGAAGAAGTTTGAGATCGAGACCAAGTCTTATGCGATAATGCTTCGGATGAGGCCTTTTGGAAGAGGGCGAGGTCATCGAGTTCATCAGGGAGAGAGATGGGGATTTGACGAGGAGGTAGGATGCGAGGGGCTAAGAGGAAGATGATGGGAAGAGAGAGAAGGAGAAGAAATGTTGGGATGAATGGGGATGACGAGAACATGGTGGGTGGGTATGGGGGGAAAAGAAAGGGGAAATGGTATGTGGTGTTGATTTTGTTTGGGAGCAGAGAAAGTGAGGGAAAATTTGGGGAGTTTTAGGCGAAAGTGAATGAAAATGGGGAATGGGATTTCATTTTTGTGGGATTTGGGAGATGGGTTTTGGGGGTAGGGGGTGAGGAGTTAGGGTTTGTAGATTGATCATCTGGTTTTTGCAGTGGGAGTGAGAGAGTTTAGTGTGTGTGTGTGTGTGTGTGTGTGTGACAGAAAGAGAGAGAGAGAGAGAGAGGGTGGATGAAAGAGGAAGGGATGAATGGTGGGAAGTGATTGGGACAGTATGGACCGTGTGGTATGGGGTAGGAGTCAGATGTAACGGCGGGGTGTAATTTTTACGGCGGAAGAGGAAATATTTTTCTTGTTTAGTATCCTTAAAAAATCAATATATTATAAGCATGTATAAGTGAGATTTTTGTAATATTTTTTATTTTAAGTATTTTTTTTAAAAAAATTTTGTTATAAAAATATTCAAATTTGTACCGACTATTCTCTCAAATTCTGAGTCGATTATTATGTCTCTTGAGAATCAGGGGTATTAAAGTGTAAATTATCCAAGTTCGTTTGTGTAAATATTTGTGGATATCTTACTTCAGTTTTGAAGATGTGCATGTGTTGTTAAAGTGCGAGGACTATAAAATTGAATGAGAGGGGAATCACTGAAATTTTCAGATGTCATAATAAATATAGATCTGAAAACTTTGGAGAGGGAATCACTGAAATTTCCAAATGTCACAATAAATCTAGATCTGAAAACTTTATAAAATTCAACAATCTTAAATGCCAAGTGAAGCATGATGCATAAAAAAAACAAACTGTTTAGGATTAATTTTTACTCCATTTTCACTTTTTGGAATTCTTACTCTTTGCACATATTTACATAGATCGCTCAGAAGAAGAATGAGACAATCAACTTTCAATCCCAAAAGAACAAGATTTTTCATAAACAATATAGAAAAAGAACGAAGAAATGGCCGAGGCCAGAAAAAATTTTCAAACCCGCTTGCACATGTGACGGAATATATATCGAGATTCACACACCCCTAGATAAATCCATCATTTATTCTCTTACAAGAATCAAACTTGTGTTTTCGATATGAAAAGATGATTTCCTAACCACTCGACGAAAGGCACCAAGAAGTCATTTTTTCATATATCCCAACTGCGAAAATAGAAGTGGGTTGTTTTATTTCTCTATGCAATTCAATCTTGTCAAAGAAATGGAATTGGCACAAGAGAAGGAGATTGAAGTCTACATTCCTCCTCATCAAAAACTCCAACTAGAGCAATAGCTCCATCGTTGTATCCCATCATGGTTAACTTTATGACATAGAAAGAAAAATTAGAGAAAAAAAAAAAAAAGAAAGAAGAAATACCAGTGCATAATGTTAAATTCACACTCCCAGAACCATTAGAATTTCAAACTAGAATATGAAAGCTAATGTATTGTTTGGTTATGCTTTTTAAAATACTTTTAAGCAAAAAAAGAAACTAGTTTATCTAAAAAGAATACATGTATGATGAGTACTTTGTATAAGTAATTTCACAGGTGTCTTGGTATACAAATAATACACTTATATATGTACACATATGCATTATCCCATATATGATGAAACTTAGAGGGAGGGGGCAGATCAAGACAAGGAAGAAAAATAAAAATGCAAGACAAGCACCACCTAAATAAGTAATTTACAAAAAGCAATGAAGCAAAAAATAAATAAAAAAAAAAAAAACATTATCAAACATTATTTTAGCATTTTGTGAGCAACCTCTTCTTTCTAGAATCACAACATAGAGAACTAAAGTATTTTCAACAAGCATCACACTAGAAAACCAAAAATGAATAACCTCCACATAGTACAACACAATAAAATTACAACAGATCTCTTTCAAGCTTTGCCTCATTCTACAGTCTGCATCCACTGGTAATGGGGAACAAATAACAACTTTCGACAACCAGTTAAACATAAAAGAGGCCTAGAACACATACAGTGACGTTAAGACGGGCAGCTGAGAACTCTGAAATTGGAACATCAATAGGGAGCTTACAGGGAAGGGAAGAAATTGGGCTTACAGGGACATAGCACCAATTGAACAAATGACAATAATAATCACTTAACAACATTCCTAATCCAACTAATCTTATTTTTTTGACAACATGCCTGTCTCCTCAAATCTCCCAGGCCACTGCCAATAGAAAAGGCACGACAGAAGCAATGGCGTTGAATCTCATTGGAAGAAGGGACCCTATATGTACAAACTCAAAAGGCAGCGCTTCAAGGGCAGAGTAGGATCTCCCATGAGAATTCTTAAGCTAATGATCAACAACCTGCGGAAGAGATTTTGTAGCATTTAGGTCGGTTCCATTTAGCTTCGATTTATCCTTTAAGGGCTTCTGTGCGCCAGGTGACTTTTTGACAGTAGTTCTACCAGGTTGCCTGGCTGTTTGAGGCCCAAGACCTTGTCCTGGGAAGATCAAATCAAACAAAGTAATGACAAAAAATTAACAATATTGTAAGAAAGCCATATATTTGACATGACAGACAGGAAGCACGGTCGGAGGTGTACATCATCTTAACGCAAGTTAACTAAAGCAGGTAACAACTATGTAACTAATTGATTACGGCTACTTGACCAAAAATCATTTATATTCACCAGAAACATTTCAAATCTTTGTCATCTCTTCGGGTAAACAGCAAACCAAGATGAGTAGAGTAGGAACTGCTAAATTACCCATGTCAAACATGCAACAAGTTGGACCAGTAAAAAGGATCCCGAGACCGACAGACATTTGAGCCAGAAAGAGCAGATCGGCCCATTTTCATTTTTCACCACAGGTAGCAGTACTTTCGGAGAGAGCATATCAGATTGAGGACTAACAACCAAGAAAGAGAGAGAGAGCGCAACTCACCGCTACTAGGAAGAGAAAATCGCTTCTTTCCTTGCTTATCTGAAATTGTTGCCCTCTCTTTGGGATTACTGTGGGATCTTGAACCTACACCAGGGGTGGAGGTAGCTTCTTCGACCAAATCTTCAAGAACTGGCTTGGACTTTGGCTTGGTAGACATTGTGGCAGATGCTTCTTGTATGCTTGTGGACTTGCTGGGAGAAGAGGCACAGCCATCTGAATGAGATGGACCCATTTTCTCATTCGGAAGGTTTGAGTAAAGGTTTGAAGAAATGAGTTTCTTGCCAGCGGGCTTTAACTGAGTCGGAGTACCATTCTTTCCATCTGCTGATCCATTCTCACGAAGCATTACTCCATCTCTAAGATTAATGTCAAGAAAACGGTTTTCCCATGGACGGACAGCCATCCATCTCTCCAACCAGTTCCAGCCCCAGTTGCTTTTATCTGGTTCGAACCCACTGGGAGCTGCCTGCTGTCTTGATCCTGCCTGCCACTGCAGCACCGAAACTGATTTTATTTCATGTCCACTTTTGACTAATATGGAAGCAAAAACACATTAAAAAATGAATAGGTAACAAAAATTGCAACATTGATTACAATAATATCAACAATACAGGCACAACACAGAGACTTCAAGATCTGCTTGTAAAGGACATGGAAACAGAATGTATAAACCCTGCACCCTAAACTAACATGGAAATGTGGAAGGAAAAAATTAAAAACAGAATGCCCATGCACATAGCAACAAAAAAGTACTATCATAAATAGCAAATAAAGTGAAGGATAAACTTTCAAAAAAAAATAAATAAAGTGAAGGATAAGCATTAAACAATGAACATCTACTTCCGATTAGAAAAAGTAAATCTTTTTCTTCGGAAAGTAAGATAAAATCTGATATAATATTGCTTAAAGGTAAATTTTGTAACTTATCAACCATAGGAATCATTAAATCCACCATGTCACATAAACAAAGACAGAGGCAGAGCAAGGAATATGTTATGCATGTGCATATAGGTACATGGATATGAAAATATGCGTGTGTATTTCTGCAACGTAATTATGATAACTTCTCTTCCCTTTCCATGCCCATGCTTTCAATTAAATTTCTCCTTGTCTTTTGTTATGTATAACTTTTTGTATGGATTCTGTAAGATACTTTTTCTCATTCTGGAAGTCATTCACATCTTACTTTTCAAATTTAGCTTTCACCTTGCAGACATATCGAACATGTGTTAAACATATATCCTACAGCGTTAGTGAAGTATTGGGCGAAGAGTATGTCATACATAGATGCAGAAACTTCTTACAATGGCCAATGCTTCTTATATATTATTGGGTTACTAGTATTGGAAGTAGGAGTTTTTTTTGTAGTTTTGGGTTATTACCATATATAGGGCTAGTCTAACTGTCTAACCATTCATGGAGACTAGACAATTGTTCCATCTAACATGGTACCAGAGCTCCGAAGACTGTAACCCTAAAATTTTTCATCTCTCCTGCTTTGGGTTTTTTTCTCTTTCTTCTCTCTTCGGCATAGTTGGCGACCCCCTGCCAGTTGCGGCCCAGGCATCGGATTCTCCTGGTTCGAAGAGAGCTATGGATGAAAAGATATTTGTCATCCATCAAATTGGTACATGGAAGTAATTTTCTTTCAGGGCACTATGTCATGAGGTATCGATGAATGTATGTGGTTAATTATTATCCTCTTGGTACTGTGGAATGGTTAGAAGCTGACCAAGTCCTTTTGTTGGGTTAATGTCTGAGCCGGATTTAATGGCTATGCTCAAAACCTAATTGGACAGGTGATCATCTAGACAGAAGGTCTGTGTTAGGATTCTGCACAATTATTGATGGCAACCTTGTTACATGGAACCAAACAAAGTGCGTAATAGTTGGGTCCAATACAGAAACTAAGTACAAACCCATGGCTCACACAACTTGAAAGATTTCATGGGTTGAGATCATTGAACTAGCCTATGACAGTCTATTGTGATAGTCAAGTTGTTATGTACGACGTCAAAAAAGAACAGTTCAAAACAGCACCAAACATATTGGGGTTGGTTTTCATTTTAATCAAGATATAGTGATGAAAAAGTAAATTGTTATCTCCTTTATTAGGTTGAGTGCTCAGCTAGGAGACATGTTTCCTAAGGCCTTAAGTGGCAATTTTCAGATGTTTGTAACAAGCTGGGCCAGATTGACATCTACACTTCAGCTGCAGAGGGAATATTAGTATCGGTAGTAGGCTTATTTTTGTGATTTTTGGTTATCAAAAAATATTGGATTGGTCTACCCACCATTCAAGGAGACTAAACCGCTTTTACATCTAAAATATTAAAATTGGGGAGGGGCCGAGAGTATGACCAGGTAGGAAAAATTGCCATTCAAGGTTTTACAGGCTGCTCTTGCTATGAAATGAGATGTAATGAAATATAAAAGCAAAATCATATCTGAATCATCCCAAATGCTATATTAATTGATGCATCCCCATGCCAAATGATGTGAAATGAAAACTACTGAGCCTGTGGAACAACACAGATATCATATGACAGCAGGATAATGACAAAAGCAGTATGTATATCTTCAAGTCAAATGTGTCAATGACAAACAAGTGATGTTACATAAGTTACACTATACAATATCTAGATGTTCCCCAAAGTTTGAATAAGTTATTTAGGCAAACTCACATTTCCCAAAGTTTCAATAATGACTTAACAGTCGATAGCATGCCTGAGTTCACAATTCTAACACAAAAGGTCATTTAAGGTAAATTGATAAGCATATGCTCTAAATATTAGAACTTTTTCCTCATCGTTCTTTTAGTAATCTGAACTCTGCTGGTTGATTAAACAGTTCATTTATCTTCCTAAGCTGCAAGCAGAATCTACTGTCTCATGTTCTCAAGGAGGATACAAGTTCTACCTGGTGAGCCAAAGCATATGCCATGGCTCTCTCGCGTTTGGCTGCTGCCTCCTGTCTTTTTAACAACTTGGCTTGAATTTCTTCAACTGATCCTGCGATATCACACCACCCTTCCTGCATCAGTAGTTAGACGCAATGAGAAGTATTCCACAAGCCTTGTGATAAGTTCTATGACATGTATGAAAAATGGCTGTATCAGAAGAAATAATCACTCGTTCCAATTCTGTACACAAGATTTCATTCAAAATTTTTCTTTTATATTACAACACAACATCAATATTTATATTAATACTAAGAAAATTTTAGGATCTCTTTACTCATCAAAAAACAAGAATTTTGGGGAATCCCCTTAGTTTCATGTAGACAGCACAACTGCAATATTTACACAGCTACGTCCAGAAAAAGGTCTCTGCATACATTTTAAACAACTTACAAAAATCTAGATCCTAACCCTTTTGTTCCATCCATCTTTGGATGAGCCTTTTTGCAATTGCCAATCACACCTGACCTTGAGCCTCAAATTCGTTTAATTGAAATTCTATTTATGATTCAACTGCCAGCAGCGACCATTCCATGCAAGTGCTTTATCCTCGAAGCATAACTGCTTTACCTCAACCACTCAACAGAAGGTTTCTCATTTGCATTCTGTACCTTGAGATGAATTTCCACAATTTCAAAGAACCCCATTTCAAGAACCCAACAAAGAACTATCTTAGAAGGCCTCATACTCTGGTAGGACCGTTGTATTCTAACTATAAGACTCAAAACTCTTTGAAACCCTAACAATAACATTATTTTCAAGATTGCTATCACTTCCTGTATAAATTCTAAAAATCAGTTTCTTTGAATATTATGTTGCATTGACCTTGAACAAATTCCATTTTGTGCCTTCAGTGGTGCTGGGTAATAATAAGTTAACAAATTTCTTGGATTTGATCATTCCTGTAGGTTCTGTGCCATGCGATAGAAAGAGTTGATTAGCTTTTGATATATCTTTTCCCAGTCCCACAGGAGCAACGGAAAGATAGATTTCTAGATCCAGAGGGCAATTATTTCATGTTCTTGAAAATCGTAAGTTTCACCAAGGTTTATGAAAAAAAATCCAGAAAAAGTGATGAAGTGGGTAGTGGTAGATACCTTGTTCATATTTTTGCTAATAGGTTTTTGTGTATAAGAAACCATCGAAAGGCTACATTTTTTTAAAAAATCGTAAGAATGGTGCTATTATACTACGGACTTACTTCTCTTTGCTTGTCTCACCACCAAGTAAAATTGCTGGCATTCACCAAAAAAAAAAAAAAAAGTTGCCAGCAGAAACATTGGTAATATACTGAAACTGCATCCATTTGATGTCAGGGGCATTCATCATATCAACAATATAACTGAATACCTTCATTTAGCATGTGCAGGCACCATAATTATCAGCGTTGCCCGGCCCTTAGAGTCAAACCATAAACCCGGCCAACGGGAGCCTAAGCTGGGCCAGTTCATAAGTTA